TCTCTCTCTCTCTCTCTCTCTCTCTCTCTCTCTCTCTCTCTCTCTCTCTCTCTCTCTCTCTCTATGTTTTAAAATACGATCAATGCAGTCGGGAATCTCTCTGGGTAACCGATTAAAGACTATAGATTGATGGGCATATTAAGTCCCTACAAAAAACTCCGATATCCCCCATCATTTGTCATAATGGCGGTTGAATTTAGGCCAATATGTACATATATATATATATATATATATATATATATATATATATCCATGTATATCACTCTCTTTAAAATGCTAAGACCTTGGCGATTACGAGCTTATAAGTCGTTTATTGTTATTAACAAATAAAGTTGTAAAGCCACGTTTGCACTTTGAGTTCGAAGATTTAGACGTAGAAGAACAAATAAAGTGCAAACTTTACGGCTCTCATAAAATTTTCATGGCCCGGTGCTAGCTTCGATGTGAAAGCATAAGAGAATAAGAATAAGTAAGAAATGGCAGCTGTTGAATAACATTCAGCCTGATCACTAGCAGTAGACTCGTTTACCCTAAAAAGATATGGATCTATGTCTATTTTATGTAAATAAGTAAAAAGTTTGCAAAGCTTAAAAGAAAAAATATGATAAAATATTTATTTTAAATAACTAGAAGAAGTGCTAGTGTGAAAACTAGAAAGTCGCAAACGCATACATATATCTTAACATATTTTTTGTAGATTTTTGCAAAAAAAAAAAAAATATATATATTACTTTATTATATCTCGTTTGCTTATTTATTTATTTATTTATTTATATTTTAGGAGTTTTTTTTTCTTCGTAACCAGTGCACTCATTTAGCATGTAATATATATAAATGTATCTCCACGATTCCCAGCAAAATTTTTCTTCTGCTATTTATGAACCTGTTTATTATTTACAAGATATCGAGCTGACTTTGCAATAATGTTTTTTTTTTTTTTTTTTTTCATACGCATTCAATTTTAAATCGGTATTAGTGATATGGAAAGTTACCTAGCAATCGGTAAAAATTATATGCCCATTATATATCAATCAATTTGTGCTGGGTTATGGAAACAATTTGAAAAGCAGAAAATATGTTTTGATATTTTCCAGTGCATATAATTAAACGTAAACTTATTTGTCGCACTACGGTTCGTTAGATTCCTTCAATATTTACTTTTGCTCTTTTTTCATATATGTTTCTTTACCTTAAAGAAGAAATGTATAAGAACGAAATGAAAAGGAAATTTGCCAGAAATAAGTGGCTTACACAATTGGATTCGCGACATACATGCATACATACATAAACGTTATGAACTCTATTGAAATCTTATGAACTTTAAACTTGTAGACAATAGAGGCATCGATGAACCGCGAAATAATCTTTTTATGCTATTTATAGGTGGACGCAAGTCAAAGAAAAATCGGTTTTTTTATTTTCTTTTCAAAAAGTTATGAATATCAGTTCCATTTGAAATGTTATGTAGGACTTTTAGAACACATTGTGCTTTAAGCGCTCAGATGGAATGCCTCTTGTTCATGTGACACGAAAAGCGATAAAAAAGGAATGATAATTGATAGGGGGGGGGCGCTGGGCGCAACCTGGTGGGTGTCTACCCAATCTGAGCATTCTCAAAAGTGCACTATACTACACTTGGGATTTGAACCCGCCAGCACTGACTTCATAGTCTTACTCGACTAGTCATGTGTTGCAATTTTCAAGGGACTTCGCCGCATTTGACCTTCTTAAACTATGGTGTTATGTGAGCAGCGGCCGAAAATGTGATCCGATCTCAAGCATTGCCATTGTGTGAGAAATGGGGGAAAAATTTGTCCGCGAGCGTTCGATCTTGGATCTTGCAGGTTGAGTACAAAAACCAAGACGGACAGACAAATTCCTGAATCACCCTTCGAATCGATCGGTGTAATAATAAAAGACGCGTCTATCGCAAGTCTTATCACAATATGTATGTAGAAACGATCGGCTATTACAGATGTGAAAGAAATGTGAAATTGGCGACGAAATTGTTATAGTCGAAAATCATGGATTCTACACGAATAATAAAATATAAGATAAATATCGCCTTTGTTGAATTAAATACACAGCAATTCCTCTCTACCAGAAACGATGAAATCCGTTTTTTTTTTTGCTATTAGGATTATACTATTCAAGCCTTCACGGATGAGATACAAGGAGATTTTTTTTTATTGCGATCATCTAGCAAAGACTAATAAAGACTAGATGAGATTGGTTCTAGAAAACAAATACGGAATACTCGTTTTCATAATGATTTAAATGAACGGATCATTTTACGAATAATTATTCTGTCTGTCTATAGTGTCTTTTAATTCTACAATTTTCTACGCTTTGCAGGATTTCTAGCTCGTTTCACCCTTTAATGATGAATTCTTCTCATTGGAAAAGTACTGAACATCGTTAACTGAATTGCGTAAAGTCAAATGTTTTTTAGAGCAAAGAAAAAAGAAAGAAACTCAGTCTTTTAGTGCTGGTAGACCAATTGCTTTTCACCTTTACTCCACATTCATGTTTTCATTTATTTATAAATATGAAATGAATATGAAAAATTGCAAAAAAAAAAAAACATGATGCAAAGATGCACCCAATTTGGACGGACTTCTACTTGCTTGCGTTTAACGAGGAAAGCTTTTAGAAAAAAAAAAAAATAAATATGTATTGGAAATGTTTGACTGTTGTCAGCAGGGACGGACATGACCAAACGGATTCCGCTATTCACACCGACCAACAATAAGCGAGCTTTATAAGATCTTAGGCCCATTTTTCTTTTTCTACGGTTTACGCTAACATCTAGCATATCGAATAGATTCACTGCCGTGGCGAGCACAGCAGTATGTTAATTTCGAGATGATTTTATTCTTAGAAAGATTTGTATACATACTGTGTTTTTACCCATACCAACGAATGGTTTGAAAAGCTCATAACGATGATAACAATCATTATTTATAATGAAAAGGAAATTTATACAAGAACATTAAAATGAAATTGTCCTTAACAAGATTGATTTAATGTATAACTTATCAATCTGGTTTTAATCGGAAGATATAATTTAATCAATATTAAGCAAAATTTAATCGTTGCTTATAAGATGGAAGAAATGTAGCTGAGTTCCGACGATAATTGCACAACGCGTATAGGAAAAGTTGCTTTTGAAAGCGATCTTAATATAATCTCCATAATGTTAGCAGCAGTAGAAGGGCGACCAACATGCGGCAATTGATAATTGCACATCAAAGTGTGAAAGAGCCATTCA